AAATAGCCCACTCGTCCTGTTCCTGGCTTTAAAGACACAGCCCCAGTGGGGCCGCTGGGCCCCAGCTGTCAACTCCAACATCTTTCTCACCTCCTCCAGTGTGTGATCAGAGCCTTCGGAGGAGACAGCAGCCCTGCCCCTGGTCGGTGAGGCCAGCAGCAGAGAAGCTGGATGAGAGAATGTGCTCCATGCCCTCTGCTCCCACAGCACCACACTCACTGAGGCTGAAGTGTAGGTGACTTACGGCTCCTGGGGGAGACCCTGCCTGGCTGGAGTATCCTGGGGGCAAAGGCTGTGTTTCACAACTGTTGTGTGCCCATCTATAAAACAGGGAGGGGCTGGGGAGATGGCTCTGTCAGTGAAGAACTTCTGAGGATCTGAGTTCAGTTCCCAGAAACCACATAAACGAAAGCTGGATGTGGCGATATGTGTTTGTGATCCCAGCTCTGGGGACGTAGAGACAGCCTGGCCTGCCTGCCTGCTTGTTGAGTTCTAAGTCCATGAAAACTTTGTCTCAAGAAAAGAGGGAGGGTGAATGGAGTCTAAGGAACAATTCGCAAGGTTGTTCTCTGACTTCCACATGCATGCTCACACAAGAACACATATACACAAACACACATGTGCATCTACATATGCACATGCATACATGCACTACTGCAGGAGTGCTGGTGCTGGTACAGGCTCACATGGAGCCCACAGATCAGAGAGATGATGTGCCAGGACTGTGCCCACCTGAGAGATGTCCTCTAGCTTCTGCCCCAGCGTCCCCTGCCTAGCTGCATTGGAAGTTTGGATGGTGCCTATGTAAAAAGAGAATGGCTATGTCCCCCCGTGATAGCTGCCGCGGGACTGAGTGGGTGCCTGTATACTGTGGTCCACTCTAGTCTGGCACATACTTCCAGCCGACTGTACCAGAGCTGCTGATGTCATCATGACGATCACCTTGTCTGTCGTCAGTCTCTGTCAGTCGTCACCATCGCCTCTGGCAGCAGCAGCAGCAGCAGCAGCAGCAGCAGCAGCAGCAGCAGCAGCA